TGTTGATCTTTCTTAGCTTCAGTTAAAGAGAAGGCCTTGTCTGTTAGTCCTCAGAATGTGTTTTCCTTGGAGCTTGTATTAGAATTCTCTGGAGGGAAGAACTAATAGGATAGATGTATATATGAAGGGAGTTTTTTTTTTTATTGCATTTTAGGTTTGGGGGTACATGTGCAGAACATGCAAGATAGTTGCATAGGTACACACGTGGCAGTGTGATTTGCTGTCTTCCTCCCCTTCACCCACATCTGGCATTTCTCCCTATGCTATCCCTCCCCAGCTCCCCCACCACTGTCCCTCCTCTATTCCCCCAATAGACCCCAGTGTGTGTAGTGCTCCCCTCCCTGTGTCCATGTGTTCTCATTGTTCATCACCCGCCATTGAGTGAGAATATGTGGTATTTCATTTTCTGTTCTTGTGTCAGTTTGCTGAGAATGATGTTCTCCAGATTCATCCCTATCCCTACAAAGGACACGAACTCATCGTTTTTGATTGCTGCATAATATTCCATGGTGTATATGTGCCACATTTTCCCAGTCCAGTCTATCATTGATGGGCATTTGGGTTGGTTCCAGGTCTTTGCTGTTGTAAACAGTGCTGCAATGAACATTCGTGTGCATGTGTCCTTATAGCAGAATGATTTACCGTCCTTTGGATATATACCCAGGAATGGGATTGCTGAGTCAAATGGAATTTCTATTTCTAGGTCCTTGAGGAATCGCCACACTGTTTCCACAATGGCTGAACTAATTTACACTCCCACGAGCAGTGTATAAGTGTCCCTATTTCTCCACATCCTCTCCAGCATCTGTTGTCTCCAGATTTTTTAATGATCACCATTCTAACTGGCGTGAGATGGTATCTCAATGTAGTTTTGATTTGCATCTCTCTGATGACCAGTGATGATGAGCATTTTTTCATATGTTTGTTGGCCTCATATATGTCTTCTTTTGTAAAGTGTCTGTTCATATTCTTTGCCCATTTTTGAATGGGTTTGTTTGCTTTTTCCTGTAAATCTGTTTGAGTTCTTTGTAAATTCTGGATATCAGCCCTTTGTCAGATGGGTAAACTGCAAAAATTTTTTCCCATTCTGTTGGTTGCCGATTCACTCTAGTGACTGTTTTTTTGCCGTGCAGAAGCTGTGGAGTTTGATTAGGTCCCATTTGTCTAGTTTGGCTTTTGTTGCCAATGCTTTTAGTGTTTTGTTCATGAAGTCCTTGCCTACTCCTATGTCCTGAATGGTTTTGCCGAGATTTTCTTCTAGGGTTTTTATGGTGCCAGGTCTTATGTTTAAGTCTTTAATCCATCTGGAGTTAATTTTAGTGTAAGGTGTCAGGAAGGGGTCCAGTTTCTGCTTTCTGCACATGGCTAGCCAGTTTTCCTAACACCATTTATTAAACAGGGAATCCTTTCCCCATTGCTTGTTTTTGTCAGGTTTATCAAAGATCGTATGGTTGTAGATATGTTGTGTTGCCTCCAATGCCTCTGTTCTGTTCCATTGGTCTATATCTCTGTTTGGGTACCAGTACCATGCTGTTTTGATTACTGTAGCCTTGTAGTATAGTTTGAAGTCCGGTAGTGTGATGCCTCCCGCTGTGTTCTTTTTGCTTAGAATGGACTTGGCTATGTGGGCTCTCTTTTGGTTCCATATGAAGTTCATTGTGGTTTTTTCCAGTTCTGTGAAGAAAGTCAATGGTAGCTTGATGGGGATAGCGTTGATTCTGTAAATTACTTTGGGCAGTATAGCCATTTTCACGATATTGATTCTTCCTAACCATGAGCATGGAATGTTTCTCCATCTGTTTGTTTCCTCTCTTATTTCGTTGAGCAGTGGTTTGTAGTTCTCCTTGAAGAGGTCCCTTATGTTCCTTGTGAGTTGTATTCCTAGGTATTTTATTCTCTTTGTAGCAATTGTGAATGGCAGTTCGTTCTTGATTTGGCTCTCTTTAAGTCTGTTATTGGTGTAGAGGAATGCTTGTGATTTTTGAACATTGATTTTATATTCTGAGACTTTGCGGAAGTTGCTTATCAGTTTCAGGAGTTTTTGGGCTAAGACGATGGGGTCTTCTAGATATACTATCATGTCGTCTGCAAATAGAGACAATTTGGCTTCCTCCTTTCCTATTTGCATACGCTTTATTTTTCTTGCCTGATTCCTCTGGCTAGAACTTCCAGTACTATACTGAATAGGAGTGGTGAGAGAGGGCATCCTTGTCCAGTGCCAGATTTCAAAGGGAATGCATCTAGTTTTTGCCCATTCAGTATGATATTGGCATTGGTTTGTCATAAATAGCTTTTATTATTTTGAGATACGTTCCATCAATACTGAGTTTATTGAGGGTTTTTAGCATAAAGGGCTGTTGAATTTTGTCAAAGACCTTCTCTGCGTCAATTGAGATAATCATGTGGTTTTTGTTTTTGGTTCTGTTTATGTGGTGAATTACATTTATAGACTTTCGTATGTTGAACCAGCCTTGCATCCCCGGGATGAATCCTACTTGATCATGATGGATAAGCTTTTTGTTGCAATCAGCTTGCCAGTATTTTATTGAAGATTTTTGCATCTATGTTCATCATGGATATTGGCCTGAAGTTTTCTTTTCTTGTTGAGTCTCTGCCGGGTTTTGGTATCAGGATGATGTTGGTCTCATAAAATGATTTGGGAAGGATTCCCTCTTTTTGGATTATTTGGAATAGTTTCAGAAGGAGTGGTACCAGCTCCTCTTTGTGTGTCTGGTAGAATTCAGCTGTGAACCCATCTGGACCTGGGCTTTTTTTGTGTGTGGTAGGCTCTTCATTGCTGCCTCAACTTTAGACCTTGTTATTGGTCTATTCATAGTTTCGACTTCCTCCTGGTTTAGGCTTGGGAGGACACAAGTGTCCAGGAATTTATCCATTTCTTCCTGGTTTAGTAGTTTATGTGCATAGAGTTGTTTGTAATATTCTCTGATGATGGTTTAAATTTCTGTGGAATCTGTGGTGATTTCCCCTTTATCATTTTTAATTGCATCTATTTGGTAGTTCTCTCTTTTCTTTTTTATCAGTCTGGCTAGTGTTCTGTCTATTTTCAAAAAACCAGCTCTTGGATTTATTGATTTATTGAAGGGTTTTTCGTGTCTCTATCTCCTTCAGTTCTGCTCTGATCTTAGTTATTTCTTGTCTTCTGCTAGGTTTTGAGTTTTTTTGATCTTGCTCCTCCAGCTCTTTTAATTTTGATGATAGGGTGTCAATTTTGGATCTCTCCACTCTTCTCATGTGGGCACTTATTGCTATATATTTTCCCTAGAGACTGCTTTAAATGTGTCCCAGAGATTCTGGTATGTTGTGTCTTCATTCTCGTTGGTTTCGAAAAACTTCTTTATTTCTGCCTTCATTTCATTGTTTATCCAGTCAACATTCAAGAGCCAGGTGTTCAGTTTCCATGAAGCTGTGCGGTTCTAAGTTAGTTTCTGAATTCTGAGTTCTAACTTGATTGCACTATGGTCTGAGAGACTGTTTGTTATGATTTCAGTTGTTTTGCATTTGCTGAGGAGTGATTTACTTCCAATTACGTGGTCAATTTTAGAGTAGGTGTGATGTGGTGCTGAGAAGAATGTATATTCTGTGGCTTTGGGGTGGAGAGTTCTGTAAATGTCTATCAGGTTTGCTTGTTCCAGGTCTGAGTTCAAGTCCTGGATATCCTTGTTAATTTTCTGTCTGGTTGATCTGTCTAATATTGACAGTGGAGTGTTAAAGTCTCCCACTATTATTGTGTGGGAGTCTAAGTCTCCTTGTAAGTCATTAAGAACTTGCCTCATATATCTGGGTGCTCCTGTATTGGGTCCATATATATTTAGGATCGTTAGCTCTTCTTGTTGTATCTATCCTTTTACCATTATGTAATGTCCTTCTTTGTCTCTTCTGATCTTTGTTTCTTTAAAGTCTATTTTATCTGAGACGAGAATTGCAACTCCTGCTTTTTTTTGCTCTCCATTTGCTTGGTAAATCTTCCTCCATCCTGAAGGGAGTTTATTAAGGAGTATTGACTCACACGATCACAAGGTCCCATAATAGTTCATCTGCAAGCTGAGGGGCAAGGAAGCCTGTCCAAGTCCCAAAACCCAAAAGTAGGGAAGCCGACAGTGCAGCCTTCAGTCTGTCGCCGAAGGCCCAGGAGCCCCTGGCAAACCACTGGTGTAAGTCCAAGAGTCCAAAAGCTGAAGAGCTTGGAGTCTGATGTTCGAGGGCAGGAAGCATCCAGGATGGGAGAAAGATGGAGGCCAAGAGATTCAGCAAGTCTGCTCATTCTACTTCTTCTGCCTGCTTTATTCTAGCCATGCTGGCAGCTGATTAGATGGTGCCCACCCAGAATGAGGGTGGGTTGGCCTCTCCCAGTTCACTGATTCAGATGTTAATCTCCTTTGGCAACACCCTCACAGACCCAGGAATGATACTTTGCATCCTTCAATCCAACTCAATATTAGCCATCACAGAGCCCAAGACTCTACATACCTATCACAAGCTATGTGGTTGGTTCTTTTTGATGCATATTGTTTGTGAATGACCCAATGAACTATCTTTAAAATGTAGATTTTCATGTACGTGTATGTGTGTGTGTGTGTTTGTGTGTGTTTGTGTTTTGAGAGAGTCTCCCTCTGTTGCCCAGGCTGGAGTGCTGTGGTGGAATCTCGGCTCTCTGCATCTTCCACCTCCCAGGTTCAAGTGATTCGCCTTCCCCAGCCTCCAGAGTAGCTGGGATTACAGGTGCATACCACCACACTTGGCTAATTTTTGTATTTTTCATAGAGATGGGGTTTTGCCATCTTGGCCAGGCTGGTTTCAAACTCCTGACCTCAAGTGATCCACCTGCCTCAGCCTCTCAAAGTGAGCCACCATGCCTGGCCAAAAATGTAGATTTTCTTGGTCCCCTCTTGATTATGAGACTATGATCCAGGAAATTCACAGGGGAATGACTCTTAGGAACACTTGCAGTGTTTACAGATTTCTTTGTTTTCCCATTGTAGCCATGGAAATAAAGAAACCTTCTCTTGCCGGGGAATCAAGCTGGCTGTGGACTGGTTCAGGGACAGAGGACACACCTACATCAAAGTTTTTGTTCCTTCCTGGAGGAAGGACCCACCAAGAGCTGACACCCCTATTAGAGGTATGCTGGAGCAGATGTGTGCTTGGGAGGCCCTAGGCACTCCTAACATCCACAGTCAAACCTCTACTCAATGATGTTTGTCTTCCTCGCTGTGCTATAAACTCCATGAAGCTCTGCTTATGAATGTTCAATGCCATTGCCCTAGCACCCAGCACCTAGTGTAACACCTGGTATTCAACAGGGAGTTCAAAATTAGGTGTTTGATAAGCAATTGTTGAGTAGATGAATGAATAAATTACTCTTTTAGTGTGAATAATTAAGTTCTCAAAATAATTGTGCCTGACAACTTTTAACACTTGAAGACAGATTGGATCTATATTCCACTCCTAATAGTTTACAGGATTTGAAAGAAGCATTTATTTGGTCAGGTAATATTTATTTACTGAATACCTCATCTAATCTCTTTACTTAAAAAGAAGAAGAAAACTGAGACCTAGGAAATTATTATTGTTATTTTTTCAGACGGAGTCTTGCTCTGTCATCCAGGCTGGAGTACAGTGATGGGATCTCGGCTCACTGCAACCTCCGCCTCCTGGGTTCAAGCGATTCTCCTGCCTCAGCCTCTCCAGTAGCTGGAACTACAGGCATGTGCCACCACACCCAGATAATTTTTGTATTTTTGGTAGAGATGGAGTTTCACCATGTTGGCCAAGATTGTCTCCATCTCTTGACCTCGTGATCCGCCCTCCTCAGCCTCCCAAAGTGATGGGATTACAGGCGTGAGCCACTGTGCCCAGCTTTTTCATTTTAAATTCTTAAATCAGTTAGGAATATTTTAAGCTACAAATATTAGAACACTGCAGTTTTATTTGTTTATTTATTTATTTTTGAGTCTCACTCAGTAGTCCAGGCTGGAGTACAGTGGTATTATTATGGCTCATTGCAGCCTTGCTTTCCCCTGGCTCAGGAGATCCTCTTACCTCAGCCTTCTCAGTAGCTGGGACTATAGGTGCACACCACCATACTTGGCTAGTGTTTTTTTTTTTTTTTTTTTTTTTTTTTGACACAGAGTTTCACTCTTGTTGCCCAGGCTGGAGTGCAATGGCGAAATCTCGACTCACTGCAACCTCTGCCTCCCAGGTTCAAGCAATTTTCCTGCTTCAGCCTCCTGAGTAGCTGGGACTACAGGAGTGTGCCACCATGCCCAGATAATTTTTGTATTTTTAGTAGAGATGGGGTTTTACTATGTTGGACAAGCTGGTCGTGAACTCCTGACCTCAGGTGATCCACCCACCTCAGCCTCCCAAAGTGCTGGGGTTGCAGGCGTGAGCCACTGCACTTGGCCCTGGCTAGTTTTTGTATTATTTGTAGAGATGGGGTTTCGCCATGTTGCCCAGGCTGGTCTTTAACTTCTGGGCCTAAGCAATTCCTCTGCCTCGGCCTTCCAAAGTGCTAGGATTATAGGCATGAGCCACCACACATGGTCAGAGCACTGCGGTTTAAACAAACAACGTCTTGTTTGTTGTTTGGCTTCGTATACAGGTTGAGCATCCCTTATCTGAAATACTTGGGACCAGAAGTGTTTTGAATTTCTGAATATTTTTATTATGCTTACTGCTGAGCATTCCTAATCCAAAAATCCCAAATCTGAAATGCTCCCACGAGCATCTCCTTTGAACATCATGTTGGTCGGATTTTCGGATTAGGGATGCTCACCTGTGAGAAGAGATCAGATGCAAAGCTCTTTATTATTACGATCAAGTGTTTTGTACTCGACATAATTGTATGTGCTAGACTTTGACACAACTGGCAGCACAGTAGGGTGTTTCCACCAGTATTGCCTCAGACACGTGAGTCATGTGTCACACTACACGGTCAGGACAGCTACGATGAGAGGGATTTACAGTCTTCTGGGACCACTGTCATGCATGTGGTCTGAAACATAGTTATGCAGTGCATGACTGTATATCTGTGCAATGGCCGTGGGTTTCCTCTCCTAGCGTGAGAACTTCTCCCTGAGTGGCAGTGCAGGCCATTTGTGTTGACTGGCAGTTTTCACTTTGGCATACCCGGCATGGAGCAGGCAGGCGGCCTGGCACCTCTGCCCACCACTTATTCCAATGGCAGAATGGTTTCATTCTAGGAGGACAACAGCCCCAGGGGAGGTTTCCTCCTTCCAGGTTGTGTCTTCAATTTCTTTATAGTGATAGGGATGGGAAATGAGTGGCGGTTCATGCTACTCATTTCCCACCCCTATGGCTATAATCCGGAGCTGCTGCCCGGGAGTAGCTCACCTGTTGGTTAGTCATCCCGACTTGCCTGACTTCCACTCCATCTCCACCGCCTGGAGTGCTCCAAGGCTGCAGGGAAATGGCTCCCACCTCCACTCCAGCCTTCTGTGCATATTCTGGGCTGTGCTTCCCTCCACGCTGTGGAATCAATATGATCCTCTCTGCTTTCTGTCTTCCTAAAATATGTCAAAATCCTGCGTTTGCTGATGTCCCCAAACCTACTTTTAATGTGATTATAGATTCTGCCCCCCGCCTCACCTTTCATTACACTGGGACTATGAGAGGGAGGGAGTATAAATACTTGTGTGCAGTTCCCGTCATGAACTGGTTGCTCCAAATTATTCTTTATGGTGTGAATATGAAGAATGGTGAATTTCTTTTTTTTTTTTTGATGGAGTCTCACTCTGTCACCAGGCTGGAGTGCAGTGGCATGATCTCAGCTCACTGCAACCTGTCACCAGGCTGGAGTGCAGTGGCATGATCTCAGCTCACTGCAACCTCTGCCTCCCAGGTTCAAGTGATTTTCCTGCCTCAGACTCCTGAGTAGCTGGGATTACAGGCATGTGCCACCATGCTTGGCTAATTTTTGTATTTTTAGTAGAGACAGGGTTTCACCATGTTGGTCAGGCTGGTTTTGAACCCCTGACCTAAGGTGATCCACCTGCCTCAGCCTCCCAAAGTGCTGGGATTACAGGCAGGAGCCACTGTGCCTGGCCCAAGATTGGTGAATTTCAATAGTAGTGTAATACTTAAATATAATATGGGAAAAAGTAGATAAATTACTTTGGGGTAAGGAAGGAATTTTTAAATAAGCCACAAGTGCAAACTTACAAGAAAAGATGAATAATTTTGACTATACTAAATAAAAGCTTTTATCATTAACAGATACCAAAAAACAAAAAAGTGAAAAGACAAGCCTCAAACTGGGGTGAGGGTGTGGGGATGGGTTATGTATCACACATTACTGATGAGGGATACTGCCTAGATCTAGAGAGATCTTCTCCAAATCAATGAGAAAAAACAATGAATCAACAGAAAGATGAACTAAGGCCTGAATAAGCTATTTACAGAAAAGAAAACATACATGGCCACATAAACATACAAACATATAAGAAGATGCTCAATCTCATTAGCACCCAGAGAAATGCAAAATAAAACCACAGTAGGAGGCCATTTTGTACCCACTAGACTGGGAAAAATTCAAAAGCCTGAAAACGCCAAGTGTTGGCAAGGTTGTCTTATACGTTGTTTTGGGTATGTAACTTGGCATCACCACTTTGGAAAACAATTTGGCATTACCTTGTAAAGTGCCTTCCATACAGCTCAGCCATATTCACTCTTGGAGATACACCATGAAGAGGCCCTTGCCTTTTCTATGCCAGGGGCTTTCATGCAAGACTAATGTGATGAACATATGACATAACCAAACCTCACAAACACAGTGATGAGCGAAAAAGACAAGCCGCTTAAGCATATGTGCAGTATCGCTCCACTTGTGTAAAGTGGAACTATACTGAAAATGAACCTCAGCTGGGCATGGCGACTCATGCCTGTAATCCCAGCACTTTGGGAGGTTGAGATGGGTGGATGCTTGAGTCTAGAAGTTTGAGACCAGCTTGGGCAACATGGAGAAACCTCGGCTTTACAAAAAATACAAAAATTAGCTGAGCTTGGTGGTGCATGCCCGTAGTCCGAGCTACACGGGAGGCTAAGATAGACGATCACCTGAGCTTGGAAGGTAGAAGCCGCAGTGAGCCATGATTGTGCTACTGCACTCCAGCCCGGGTGACACAGTGAGATCTTGTCTCAAAAAAAAAAAAAAGAGGTCAGGCACGATGGCTCACGCCTGTAATCCCAGCATTTTGGGAGGCTGAGGAGGACGAATCACAAGGTCAGGAGTTTGAGACCAGCCTGGCCAAAATGGTAAAACCTTGTCTGTACCAAAAATACGAAAAAATTAGCTGGCGTAGTGGTGTTTGCCAGCAATCACAGCTACTCAGGAGGCTGAGGCAGAGGTTGCAGTCAGCCAAGATCAGGCCACTGCACTCCAGCCTGGGTGGCAGAGTAAGACACCGTCTTGGGGCGGGGCAGGGGGCAAGAAAGAAAATGATTCTCATAGTCTGTATTTTAAATAATAAAGGCAAGGACATTATAAACACAGAGTTCTAAAACTAGGGTTATCCTAAGAGCTTAAGGGAAATGGAGATGACTGCAGACTGAGGGGGCAGAGGGGACTTCCAAACATGGGCCACCTCCTCTTTCTCAAAGGAGGTGCTGCACGTGTGGCATCTTTATTTTTGTTATTTGTACTATAGATGCATTATGCACTTTTTTGTTTTTTTTTTTTTGAGATGGAGTTTCTCTTTTGTTGCCCAGGCTGGAGTGCAATGATGCCATCTTGGCTCACCACAACCTCCACCTCCTCGGTTCAAGCGATTCTCGTGCCTCAGCTTCCTGAGTAGCTGGGATTACAGGCATGCCCACCACGCATGGCTAATTTTGTATTTTTAGTACACGGTTTCTCCGTGTTGGTCAGGCTGGTCTGGAACTCCTGACCTCTGGTGATCTGCCTGTACTGGCCTCCCAAAGTGCTGGGATTATAGGGGTGAACCACCTTGCCTGGCCTCATGCACCTTTAAAAAAATCAGCAAACTTGGCAGGATGAGGTGGCTCACACCTATAATCCCAGCACTTTGGGAGGCTGAGGCCAGTGGATCATAAGGTCAGGAGATGGAGACCATCCTGGCTAGCACGGTGAAACCCCGTTTCTACTAAAAATACAAAAAATTAGCTGAGTATGGTGGTGTGAGCCTGTAGTCCCAGCTACTGGGGAGGCTGAGGTGGGAGAATTACTTGAACCCGGGAGGCAGAGGTTGCAGTGAGCCCGTGCCACTGCACTCCAGCCTGGGCCACAGAGCGAGACTCTGATTAAAAAAAAAAAAAAAAAAAAAAAAAAATCAGCAATCTATATCATATGGGAAAGGACTTACATTTGAAGGACCTGAGTAACTATTACATGTCAAAGAGATTTTTTTTTTTCTCCATGTCTCTAACGGCAAAATTAAGATCAAACAGCTGACCTTCCTGGAATGCAGATTTTAGCCTCTGATAAGAAAGGCCTTGTAATGTTTGTACCATGTAGTACATGTTTACCTCTTGACTAGTTTTTGCAAGAACTTTCACTAGAGCTCAGTCCACTCATAAACACTGCGAGACAGGAAGAGGAGGCATTGGTATCTTTGTTTTATGAGCATAAAACTGGACGGGCATTAAACCGGGGTGAAGTGCCTAGGAACTGGAGCCTGGCCAAGACTCCAGGCTGGATTCCTAGTCCTGGATGTTTTCTATGATATTCTTGAGTCCCTGTATCTGTCTGTGATGGGGTGCTCCATCCCCAGCGTGTCCCAGGCAGGTTCCTGTATGGTGGGAGAAGATGGACCCCTGGCTCCCAGCTAGGGGCCCACGCAGGACTTCCAGGCTCCCCATCATGCTGCAGGCATCTCCCAGTTAATATAGAAATGTCTTTTGCCAGGAGACCTATTTGCTTGCTGTGGTAGGGGCACTGTGGCATGGAACCCTCAAAAGGACAAGGACTGTGGCTGAAACCCTCCTTCTAAGTGACTCTCCCTTGTAAAGTGCCACTTTCTGGACTCATGTCATGACATAGGCAGGACAGAAGCCATCCACCCGCTTGATCTGGGGCTTCAGGCAAACTGAGTGAAAGAAGTGAACATTATGGCAGGAAAATCTGGTGTCTTTTTCTTCCTCCCCTCAAAATCTCCCTGGCCCTCATCTGACCGGCGGGGAAATGGGTGGGAAGGTGGGTGGCCTCGTGTTGGGGGTGGTTCTCAGGGGCGGTGCCCTCAGGCCCTCACCCTTTCCCCACCGACCGCTCGCAGAGCAGCACGTGTTGGCGGAGCTGAAGCGGCAGGCAGTGCTGGTGTACACGCCATCCCGCAAGGTGCACGGGAAGCGCCTGGTCTGCTACGACGACCGCTACATCGTGAAGGTGGCCTACGAGCAGGACGGCGTCATCGTCTCCAACGACAACTACCGGGACTTGCAGAGCGAGAACCCCGAGTGGAAATGGTTCATCGAGCAGAGGCTGCTCATGTTCTCCTTCGTCAATGACCGGTATGGCCCGCAGGGATCCTGACACTGAGGGCGGGGACGGGGCAGAGGTGACACTGCTTCCAGGCAGTAGGGCTTGGGGGTCACTCAACCCCACAGACAGAGCTGCCCCAGGCCTGCTTTCTCTGCAGGTGCCTTCCCCAGTAGGGGAGCTGCTTTGCCCTGACCTTAACTGTTCCCAGCGCCACACCTGACTCACCACAGAGATGCCCAAGTGGAGGCCGAGCACAGGAGCATGTGCTCAGGGCATCACTACCTTCAAAAAACAGAATGGCACGCTTCAGGATACTGAAATAGTCATTGTGGACAAAATCTGTTTTGCTTTTCACTTATTTCAGGTTTTTGTCTTTTTTGAAAAAAGTTTTAAATTACATATGGGAGTGGGCAATGGAATTTGTTTTTTTTTGAGACAGGGTCTTGCTCTGTTGCCCCAGTTGGAGTGAGGTGGCATAGTCATGGCTCACTGCAGCCTTGAACACCTGGGGTCAAGCGATCCTCCTGCCTCAGCCTCCCAAAGTGCTGAGATTTTAGGTGTGAGCCACTGAGCCCTGCCCAGAATCTTTTCTTTTGGGCTGTAAAGACCTTCACCTGCCTGGCCCTGACTGTCTCCATACCTCTGGGTTGAAACGTTCAAGAGAACCTGGCTGGTTAGGTTCCCTTGCATCAGTTCATCCCAGACCAACTGGCTATGGCTGGGGGCTGAGCAGGACACCAGGGCCACAGGCACAAACCGCTCAGCAGGGGGCAAGGGCCAACCCTGGCGAGGAGGGAGGGTCTGGAGACCAGAACAGTGCGTGATAGAGCACAGCCAGCGGAGCTGCTGCTCCCATTTCCACTTCTGTTCCAGGCAGCATTAGCCTGACCCTCATTCTGGGCCCTCTGACTGACTTTTCAGAACGTAGTTTGAGACAAACTTGGGGGCAGGAACTGTATGTCTTATGTGCGGTGCCCCCATCCTGCCTGGCCCACAGGCATGCAACAACTAGTTGTAGAGGAACTCCTGAGTGAATGGCTGTGGCCCGGGGAAGGGGGATAGGGAGAGGGGTCTGGGCTCAGGCTGCCTGCACACGGCCAAGCAGCTCCTGACTTCTGATCCAGGGACACAGTGTGATGTTTGAGAAGGAGCTGGGGCTTTGGAGCAGGCAGGTGAGGTTTCCATCTGAGATCAAGGGGGAACCACTCAACCTCTCTGAGCTGAATGTTCTTCACTTGGAAAAGGGATGAATAGTAATAGCACCTCTGAGATCACTGTGAGGACCAGAGAGACTTGTGCCCCAGGAGTGGTAGCAGCTGCTCTTGAGACCTGGTGCCCCAGGGGGTACTGTGGTCCCCACAGCCACCTGCTTGTGCAGCCATGGAGGTGGAGGGGCAGAGGCATGGCAGCAGCGCCTTGTGGGAGCCCCCATTGTCATTTCAGCTACAAAAGGCCAGTGGCTCTCACTGTCCAGCTGTGGCCTGGAGTCAACTGGCTGGTCTGGTAACTGTGGGCTCCAGAAATCCTCACTGTGCTCTCAGGGGCATGGCCATCTCTGTCCTGATGACAGCCTGGGGCGAGGGCCAAGTCCTTTTGATGCACTGGCCTCCGTTATGGGCCTGCCAGAAGGCAGGGCCTGCCGCCCACTTGTGAACGGGGGCGCCCCCCTGTGCCCTGGGCACGTCCACAGGGCCCTCTTGGCAGAGCTCCTACTCCTGAGAGAGCAGGAGAGGAAGTCTTTGGGAACTTTTAATAACCACAGTGGGCGGTTCCCCAGATTCTTGGTCAAGGCCCAACTCTGAGAAGCCAGCTGTGCAGCTGGGAGCTGAGCTGCAGAGGTGACACAGGGCTGGGGATCATCCAGCTCCCTGCAGAGTGAGCCTTCAGCATGACTCTGGACTTTTAGAAGGACAGCCACCCATAAAAGCATCTCCTCCCCGATTTATAATCCCAACCTCTCTGCAGAACCTTTGTATGACCTGGAAGTGTCTCTGGAAACAAAAGCATTCATATAAAAAGTGGACCTTACCCAGCGAGGGGTGTTTTCCTTCTGAGGAATTGGATTTTCCTTGTTGAGCCCGTGAGCGTGCATTCCCTTCCTCATTAGGGCTCCATGCCACGGAGGAGTGAAGGGCAGACCAGACCCTGTGCCCCCAGGGTTTGCAGAGGAGGAGGTTAAGTCAGTGAGGAGGCTGTATGTGCAGGCAGCACCTTCCTCACTGATCCAAACTCCCTGTTCCCACTGAACTTCTTCGCCTGGAGGTTCACAGCCCAGAGCTGTGTTTGGCACCGGGTGAAACCCAGGAGAAATGAGACCTAAGCCTCAAGGAGCCCATATAACTCTGAAACTTCTGGAACTGGGTTTTTTGTTTGTTTATTTAGAGATAGAGTTGTCCAGCGTGGATTCCTGGCCTCCCGGGATCCTCTCTCCTCCCTAGTAGCTGGGACTACAGGCACAGGACACCACGCCCAGCTTTTCTGGAACTGCTTGTTAACCTCATAGAGGTTTCTAACCTTTTGCTGAGGACAATGGGAAGCCAGAGGAGCCCTTAGAGCAATTACGCTTCCATTTTCCTGGGTAAAAATCACCTGGGAAGTTCTTCAAATGCAGATTCCTGAACAACTTGATTCCGATGAAGCAGGTCTTGGGTGAAGCTCTGAGGCTGTGTTTTTAATTTAATTAAATTAATTTATTTATGTATTTACTTTTTTGCCAGGATCTCACTCTGTCACCTAGGCTGGAGTGCAGTGGCATGAGCCATGACTCACTGCAGCCTCCATCTCCCAGGCTCAGCCATCCTCCCACCTCAGCCTCCCGAGTAGCTGGATCTAAAGACATTCACTATGACACCTGGCTGATTATCTTTTATTATTATGTTTTTAGACAGAGATTCATTCTTGTTGCCCAGGCTGGAGCTCAATGGCACGATAGTGGCTCACTGCAACCTCCACCTCCTGGGTTCAAACGATTCTCCGGCTTCAGCCTCTGGAGTAGCTGAGATTACAGGCGCCCATCACCACGCCCAGCTAATTTTTTGTATTTTTAGTAGAGACGGAGTTTCACCATGTTGGCCAGGCTGGTTTTGAACTCCTGACCTCAGGTGATCTGCCTGCCTCGGCCTCCCTAAGTGCTGGGATTACAGGCGTGAGCCACTGTGCCCTGCCTCTTTTTAAAAACTTTTTATAGAGACAAGGTTTCACTATGTTGCCCAGGCTGGTCTTGAACTCCTGAGCTCAAGGGGTCCTTCCCAAAGTGTTGGGACTACCCATGTGAATGAACCACTGCACTCAGCTGACTGCATTTTTAAGTTGCTAGGTGATTCTGACACTGCTGGCTTGAATCACAGCAGGAGAAACACCCGAAGAGGCCCAGAGCTGTGCTGTGTGCTCTGCATGGGGTTCAGTGTGAAGGGGAGATTTTGCTTGAAGATGCTGTGACATCCGTTGGGTGATGGTGGGCCCGGGCCGAATGCTTCCTGGTGCTCTCAGGGAGCTTGGGCCTGCTCCCTTTGTACAGGTGCTGGCACCAAATCCCAGGTGGTCTTGCAGTTGCCTCTGTGCTTATTTTCCAGGTTCATGCCTCCTGATGACCCCCTGGGCCGCCACGGACCCACCCTGAGCAACTTCCTGAGCAGGAAGCCGAAGCCCCCAGAGCCATCCTGGCAGCATTGTCCCTATGGTGAGTAATGCCCAGTGCTTCGCCAGCCCTGTTCAGGGCCCTGTGTGGGAGCAGTACAGAAGCACAGACAAAAGCACTTGCCTGAATTCTGCCCTCCAGCTGTGCCACCCTGGAGAGTTAACTTTCCCGACAGGGTTATTGTAGAACTGACATCCCGGCCGGTGATGGCACGGGGGCGAGGGTCTCTTGCCAGGGTCAGATACAGGGGTCTCACACATAGCAAAGTTGTGTCTGAGAAACAGGGAGTCTGGACTCACACCCAGCTCCAGGTCTCAGTCCCTTTACCTGGCCCCTGGCAGCTTCTGTCCTCACTCTGCCCGGCTCCCCACCCTTCCACCTATGGACTGTGGTCACTGCTGTCCATGGAGAGTTAAGCATTTATCCCAGCGTCCTGAGGACGCCAGTCTTCTAGCCAGCTCTTTCAGTGACGTGCTTCACCAAGTTATCTGATGTCTTCAAGTTCAGTAAGACTTGGTTGACATTCAGTCATTTCTTTTTATAATTAGGTGACCGTACATACATTCAGGCTGGCTCCTCCTGCCCCCTTTCACTCTCAGAAGCCCTGGGTTTGGATGGTAACGCTTGATCATTTGTTCAGGACTCTGTTAGAACAGCGTGCAGGGAGAGGGCAAGGGTTAGCACAGGGAACATGGAGAACGCTGGGGACTGAGGTGGCACTGCATGCGCAGTCCTATGCCCTGAGCACCCACGCCCTACCGCCCTCTCCCTAAGCCTGGCCCTATCCACGGGGTCCCTGGGGAAGTGGAGGCTTAAAGTCTGAATCCAGAGATTTGGTCTTAGTCCCTGGTCAAAGGGACCTGGGATCGGCACTCCTCTGCGGACCCTGGGATTAGTGTGCCCAGCAGCCCGGAGTCCCGGGCGGCCTGGGGGCCTGCCTGGAGGAATCTCCACCGAGAGGCCGCGGGCCTGCACTCTCTAGATGCACCAGGCAGTGCCGCCCTTCTGCGCCCCCGGCCTCACGCCGCGCCCTCTCTGTCCCTGCCCCTTTCAGGCAAGAAATGCACCTACGGCATCAAGTGCAAGTTCTACCACCCGGAGAGGCCGCACCATGCGCAGCTGGCAGTGGCCGACGAGCTCCGCGCCAAGACTGGGGCCCGGCCTGACGCTGGCGCCGAGGAGCCGCGGCCTCCGAGCGCCCCGGGCGGCCCTGCAGGAGCCCGGGCGGTCCCCCGGGAGCCGATTGCTCACAGCCTCCCGCCAGCGCGGGGGTCCCTGGACCTCGCTGCCCTGCGGGGGAGCTTCTCTCGCCTGGCCTTCAGCGACGACCCGGGGACCCTGGGGCCGCCTGACCCGGGGACCCTGGGGCCGCCTCCCCCGGGCCCTGCCTGCAGCCTCGCGCCCCGACTGGGCGGGCCCGACTGGATGTCCGCGGGTGGCCTGGTGCCCCGGGTCTCGCCGTCTTCGCGGGCGGGCGGCGCTGCCACCTCCGAGCTGCCCAGCCTTGGGGCGCCGGGGCCAGGCCCGCCCAGCCTCCCTAGCCCGCAGAACCCGTTCTCCCTGGGCGACCTCCCGCCCCCGCCCGGCCTGCAGCTCCAGCCGCGGGGCGAACACCGCCCCAGGGATCTGCAGGGGGATCTGCTGCCCTGGCGCAGGCCGCCCGACGACCCATGGGCCCGTCCGCCCAGCTCCGACCGCTTCCCGGGGTGCTTGGCTTGGGCGGAGCCCGCCTGGGGCGATGGCGCCACTGGGGGACTCTCAGGGTACTCTGCCAAGGACGGCGAGGGGGATGCGCGCACCCAGGCTCGCCTCGCGCTCTACAGCGTCTTTCCGCGCGACCACGTGGACCGCGTGATGGCCGCGTTCCCCACGCTCTCCGACTTCGCCAGGCTCATCCTCCTCGTGCAGAGATCCCAAAGCACGCGGGCATCCCTGGGCAAGCCCTAAAGGACCACCTCGCTCTTGCAGGGAATGACCCGGCCTCACCTTGCATCTTGGACGGGTGGACCAGTGGTTGCCAGCCTTGACCTGAGTGGGCCCACCGTGGCGCCCCCGTTTCTTTAAAGATGGTCAGGGACGCCTGCTTCCTTCTCCTTAGCGGGGTTGGGTGGGGGCCTGGTGGCATTTGGTGATCCTCACTGAGGCTGGGGCCTGCTTCAGGGAGGTCCCCCTACTTCCGCAGAGGGAGTGATTTTCCACGTGCACGGAGACTGCAGCTCCAAGCTGCAGTGGAATCCACAAGTGGGTCACAAAATCAATTTAGTGGGTCACCCCCACAAATACAGCAGACTGGGACAGGTCAGAGCATACCCTGCACAATCAGGCCGAGTCTGAACTCTTGTTACCTAGCCTGTGTTCCTACCCCCTTGGCAGTCATGTAACTAACCTTAGTGTGGGTCGTGGTCAGAAGTTTGACAAAGACTGGTGAATGGTCTTGAATTTCATTACATCAGATAATGTTGGAAACAGCAGTCAGGTGGCCACCGGAGGTTTGCCATCTGGAAGTTTTCTTGTTAGCTATTGCTAACTCCACCGGCAAGGGGAGCCCAGACTTCAGGTGTGGGCTCTGCTGTGCTCCGAATTGCATGGCTGTATCTTGCTGGGGATGAGTGGTAGGATTGCTTTGTCCCAAGGCCACCTTCTGGGGCCTTCACTCCCCTTCACACACACACGTACACCACACCACACAAATACATGCACACACAAGTATGCAGTCTCACATATGTACACACGCACACACATCACTTAGCCACATCTTTTGGCTCAGGATTAAGTATTTCCTTTTTTTTTTTTTTTAGACATTCATCATGGCAGTTTCTAGAACAAGCCTTCAACTGTACTGAGTATCCACTGCCGCCACTTCCTCCTCCTGCTCCTCCTTCTTTTCAAAAGAAACAGAGCCTCAGCCTCGTGCGGTGGCTCACGTCTGTAATCCCAGCACTTTGGGAGGCCGAGGCAGGCAAATCACTTGAGGTCAGGAGTTCAAGACCAGCCTGGCCAACATGGTGAAACCCTGTCTCTACTAAAAATATAGAAAATTAGCCAGGCATGGTGGCATGTGCCTGTAGTCCCAGCTACTCAGGAGGCTGATGTGGGAGAATCTCTTGAACCCAGAATCTCTTGCAGTGAGTTGAGATTATCCTGCTGCACTCCAGCCAGGGCAACAGAGTGAGACAGCCAAAAAAAAGAGTCTCACTCTTGAGTACCGTTGTATGATCATAGCTCACTGCAGCCTCAAACTCCTGGACTCAAGCAATCCTCCTGCCTCAGCCTCCTGAGTAACTGGGACTGTAAGCATGAGAGCCACACTTCACAGCTAAACTGGGGTTGGGTGAGTCTGGACTTTTGTTCTGAAATCTACAGGTCAGCAGAAAGCTGACATGAGCCCAGTCATAGAGTTTACTGCCATCTTCCTGGTGCCATTTCTTCCAGTCAGCTCCTGTTCTGAGTTTGAAGAGAAGGGGCCTACCCATTTGCAATGGCTAAGAAGTGAGATGGTGCTGCCAGAGTGTCAATCCCCGAATCCTCAGGGGCTCTGGCCGCTCCTGGCAGCATCCACCCATTCTGGCCATGCCAGCCCCATGCCAGCCCTATGCCAGCCAGACTATGGCTAATTTGTTCACTAGAGAGCTTGGTAGCTTGACAGTTTCGGGGCAAGCATAAGGCACTACCCAGGGGAAGATCAGCCCCCAGCCCCACAAGCTCCCTGCAGCCTGTTGGTGCAGAGAGAACTCTTGCCAGTTTATTACCAGATTTCATGAAATGTTGGCAGGCCCGGGGGGCACCGCAGGGAAAGTGCGTTCCTAGCCCTTTCATTCACGCTAAATGACACCCCTGGGGAGTACAGTGATGTCAGGTTTTTCTGTGAGACTCCTTTGATCTTTTTAAACCAGATTCTTAGCATGGCTTGAGCCAGATCTGTTTCTCACCCCCTTTTTTCCAAAGAGGATGGTGCACCCACAATTTTACCACATCATATTGGAATCTCAGTCCTGAAGATGGTCCACTCTTTGTAAATAAGTTGGATTTTCCTCATGATATGTGTGGGCTTTTTTTTCAAATTTCAATTTTATTTTTTTGAGACAGGGTTCCGCTCTGTCACCCCGGCTGAAGTGCAGTAGTGCGATCAGGGCTCACTGCAGCTTCGACTTCCCCGGGCTCAAGCAATCCTCAAGCCTCAGCCTTCTGAGTAGCTGGGTCTACAGGTGCACCACCACATCCTGCTGATTTTTTCTATTTTTTTGTAGAGACCCAAAGTGTTGGGATTACAGGCATGAGCCACTGCATGGGGCCTTTATTTTTATTTTTAACTTTTTGACACGCTTTCTATTAGAGCTGTTTTTTGTCTCCCGGCTCAGTCTCCTGATGTAGAATCACTGTGTTGCTGATTTTCAGTTGAAAATGTTTAAACTGCTTCCTTTGAGAATAAGTCTGAGTTTCAGTAAGCTGTAAAGCTATTTTATTTGGTTCACTGTGAATAAGACAAGTACACACAAAAAAGTGAAAACGCAGCACGTTTCAAGTGTAATCCCCTTTGGAATTTTTCCAAAGTCTTAGTATATGTCTTTGTGACACAAAAACATAGATGGGACAGGTAAATAAAATGTTCCTAGTTGCATAGCTGTTACTGTGCTTCAAAAATAAATCAGTTTTACCACAGCTGGATTATTTATTGTCAAATTGTCTATTAGTTTCTCCTACTGGCTTTCCCTCTAGATTCGTCTGTCCTGTTAAAAATTGTGGGTGTAGGCTGGGCGCGGTGGCTCACGTCTGCAATCCCAGCATTTTGGCTGGTTCATGAGGTCAGGAGTTTGAGACCAGCTTGGTCAACATGGTAAGACCCTGTCCCTACTAAAAACACAAAAATTAGCTGGGTGTGGTGGCACACACCTGTAATCCCAGCTCCTTGGGAGGTTGAGGGAGGAGAATTGCTTGAACCTGGGAGGTAGAGGTTGTAGTGAGCTGAGCTTACACCACTGCACTCCAGCCTGGGCAACAGAGTGAGACTCTGTCTCAAAAAAAAAAAAAAAAAAAAAAAGACAAAGTGGGTGTGAAGAAGACTGAGGCTGTGACTGGTCTCAGCAGTTGTGGGTCCGTGCTGTTCCACCTGGGGGGATGTGAGGGGCTCAAATCCACCTTTTCCAGGGGAAGCAGTGAGGCCACAGCGAGGCCCTCCCTTTGCTGGATTTGCAGCAGGCTGTTCCCAAGGACTCAGGCTGCTTGTCCATTTCCTAGACTTCAAAAATCCTCATTACAACTATGAAGCCTTCTTATAGAAGCCGCTCTTCTAGTTTAAACCTGCTGCAGAGCTCTCCTCGACTGATCAAACCTGAGGCTTGTGCTGTCCTGGGTTTGCCCTGGGGCAGCTTTCCAGAGGCCTCCGGAAGGGGGATTGGGGCAGAACTGCAGAATGTCAGGGGTTGAAGGGTAGAAGCAAGACAAGCCACTCTAGTTGGCATTCTTCCAGATAAAATGGGTCCAGCTTTGGATCCAGCTTTGGTTTGACATTGGGCTCAGCTGAGGAGCTGTGCCCCAACTGCAGCTGGCATGAGATGAGGCCAGAGAGGCTCTGGCTTCTGGGGAAAATGTCCACCTATGGGGTGGGGTGGAGAGAAGGCCATAGAAGTCAGGGGTGGGGGGAGGGAGGCATTAAGGTAAAGAAGACACAAGATCGGGGCAATTAAGAGAGGGGTTCTGGGAACTGGAGCAATTCCTTGGAATCACAGAGCCTACCAGGAGGGATTGTACAGAGCCAGGACCAGCGACATAATCTGTGGGACTCTGTGCAAAATCAAAACGCAAGGCTCCCTGTTCAAAATGTGTAACAATTTCAAGATGCCAGCAGAGTATGAAACCAAACACGGGTTCCTTCTAAGTGTAGGGCCCTGTGCAAATGCACAGGTCACATGCCTAGGAATCTAGCCTGCCTGGAGTTACCTAAAAGACAAGCAAGAGAACATTCTCAGTGCTGAGTATACTCAGAACAAAACTGAAGGAAGTCAGAGGCCAAGACGCATGTACTTCATAGCTAGAAAAGGCCATGGCATCGGAGCAGGTGTTGGTCCCCAACTGCTACCTGAGGGTCTGCCTGCTGCAGCTACCTGAGGACTAAGTGGGTCTCCCTTGGCTTTTCCTGGAAGAGGATAGAGGGGAGAAATCAAGGGACTCGGGCAAATCACGCTCTGAATCGTCCACTTCCAAATGAGGAAGCTCTGTCAGTCGGGGTAGCTCTAGAGTTATTCTAGTTTGTATTAGCCAAGGCTCTTGGCTACAAGTGTGGGTCACAAAACCAAATGGCAGGAGGCCAGCGGTGGAAGGCAGCTGTGGAGCTGACTGGAATTAGAGCCTCAAAACCATCAGGACTCTTGTCTGTTAAATCCTGTACCTGTTTCCTTCTGTTTATTCTCTCCTTCCAAGGTTTTTCCTGCACAATGAGAGCCATTCTCCTGGTCGGCTGAAGCACACATTCTTCCAACTAAAGGACTCAAGAGAAGGTTTCAGAAAGATCCCAGGGAAGGATTCTGATTGGCATGCCTTGGGTCACGTGCCCATCCTGGACCAATCACCATGGGACAAGGAAGTACTACAATTGGTTCAGCCAGGATTTCGGGCCCACCTCTGGCTAGGATGAGGACATATCTGGGCTTGTCACCTCATGGCCAAACCCACATGGCTGGTGGGAGCTTGGGTAAGGGAGAGGAGCAGTGCCCTCAAAGAAGCGGGGACACTGTTTACGTAGACAACATGCATGGCCACAGCAATGTGCAAACCTGGGCACTGCGACAAGGTTCAGGATGGCCCCCGCCCTCCTCCACCCTCTACCCTGGTCCTATTTGAGAAAGGGGCAGCTAGGTTAGGAAACCCTTGTTTTTGCCCATCCATAGACAGCATGGTCTCCTGTGGGAGGAAAGTGGAAGGGCCACTGCCACAGAGCCAGAGCTATCATCATGTTAACCTCGCCAATGTGGGGACTGTGGCCAGAGGACCCCTCCGGTGGCATACCACCAAAAACCCCTGTCGGGGAGGAAGAGGCTCTGCAGAGTCAGAAGGTGACTTTGAGTCACTTCTGAACAGATGCCCTCTAAGATCAAGAAGCTCCTGGAATCACATTAATGGGGCTGGGGGCCTGACCCAGCTGGGCAATTAATTTGTCCTGAGTTCTTGGGGACAGCTCTCTGTCCTCATGGAGGGATGGCACACCTATCCCAATGCCCAGAAACAGGAAAGGTGCTAGGTAAATGAACAGAAAGGCAAATGGGCCCAGTGCTCAGAAGCCATCTGAACACTGTGCTTGTTAACTGGCTGGGTGACATGGACTGACTGACTGTGATGGGCTGCCTGGCTGATACTGATTCACTGACCCTGTCTGACCAGTTGACAATGACTGGCTGGCTGACACTAATTGACTGACACTGACAGACTGATTGGTGAACACTGACCAACTGGCTGACAGACTCTTACAATGTTGGCCAACTGACACTGACTCACATTGGCTGACTGACACTGGCAGACTGAAATGGGTGGACTGACACTGGTGGACTGATACTAGCTGACACTGGCTGATACTGTCTGAGTGACACTGGCTGACACTGACACACTGGCTGACAGAAACTGACTGATACTGGCTGACACTGGCTGACTCTGACACTGGCTGGCACTGGCTGACTTTGACACTGGCTGACACTGACTGACACTGGCTGACTGACACTGGCTGACTGACATGGTTGACACTAGCTGACACTGACACTGGCTGACTGACAAGGGCTGACTGACATGCTGGCTGACTTACACTGGCTGACTCTGGCTGACATTGACACTGGCTGACACTGACTGACACACTGGCCAACTGACACTAGCTGACTGACACTGGCTGACTGACATGGGCTGACTGACACACTGGCTGAGTGACATTCAGGAGTAAGACTGACAGACAAAGTCAGTGACACTGGCTGACTGGCTGACACACTGACTGACACACTGGCTGACTGACACTGGCTGACTGACACTGGCTGACTGACACACTGGCTGACTGACACACTGGCTGACTGACACACCGGCTGACTGACACACTGGCTGACTGACACTGGCTGACTGACACACCGGCTGACTGACACACTGGCTGAGTGACATTCAGGAGTAAGACTGACAGACAAAGTCAGTGACACTGGCTGACTGGCTGACACACTGACTGACACACTGGCTGACTGACACTGGCTGACTGACACACCGGCTGACTGACACACTGGCTGGCTGACACTGGCTGACACTCACTGACTGACACTGGCTGAGTGGCACTGGCTGACAAGGCTGAAGTGTGGTCAGGACCTGTGGCTGGCTGTTGAGAGCGATTACTCAAATAGAATTAGCAAATTGCAATGGTTTTGACTTTGCCATCAGTCTTACTCCAGAATGTAAAATAAGTGTGATGACACCAAGCCATAGTAAGCCTCCAAAGTTAGGCTTCATGGAGGCCATTCTTGAATGAAGCAGTTACAGAGCATTTCCCCCAAAAAGAAGCACAGGAGGGGCTGAGGTTCCTCCTCTAACAGGGGTGATTTCCCATCTGGCCCCTTGTTCTCTCACAGACAGGGGCTGTCTCCAGCTCAGTTTTCCGGAGCTCTGACTTCACACCAGTTGCCTCCTCTGCAATCCTCTGGGCTGTGTTTTGCTCCAACATGTCCCCTCTGCTCTCCCACCTTCTCCATCTGTAATCCCCATGCCCCTAGAGCCTCCCCATCCTTCAGAGCCCTCCCCTTGACCCTTCCTCCAGCGCGTCTGTCCAGGCCATTCCAGCGCCAGGAGCCCCACTTCTTCTCAGAATGCTTCTGTCCTTTCAGGGCAGAACTGCTCTGTGGCTCCCTGGCTACAGTTTTGCTTTAACGGTTACTTGTTGTGCATTGTTGGGGGGAAACCCTGCAAGAGCTGAGGCAAGGGTCTGAGGCCTGTCTGTTCTCATATAAATATTGAATTAGAAAAGAATTAGAGATATAGTTACATAGTTATTCTTATATATAATCATAATCCCATAGCTATTCACATGTATGCATAAATATAGACGTATATATAATTATATAATCTTTAGTTTTACTAATAAGTCTCAGGTCATGAAGTGTGGATCTGAAGTGGCATTGGGAAAGAGGTGGCCCTAAGGCAAGATGCTCTAAGTCCTCTGTCACGCCTGCGTAAGGGCTACTGCTGAGGGCACCTTGGCTGCACGGCTGCGCCAGTGCTGTGGAAACACCGGCCATTTAGCCAGCTAGGGAAGGAGGCATCCAAAATGGCCGAGACGTCTCCTTCCTCGGGGGAGTTAGGAGAAAACGCCACTTCTCCAAGCTCTTGTGGTAGGCCTGGCAGCTGTCAGGGAAGCCTGCCGACATCCAGGGGCTTAATTGTCTCTACGTGATGCTGTGCTTCAGTGCACGTTCCATGCCCACTCTCATGCTCTGCTTCTGCATCTGGCGCCTCTCTTTCTTCTAAGATAAGAATTAGTAATAGTAATATAAATTTTAATGCCTTGATATTCTTGACAAATATGAAATAAGTGCTGACACTTTAGATTTTCTCCTTGCCTTGGCTACTTGAAAATCCTGAGCCCCTGCCTCCAAGACACGTGACTTACCTGACCCTATCACCGACCACCATTGCCTCCCCCTACCTAC